AATCCCATTCTGATTACAGTATCTAATATTACACTTTCTATTAGCGTTACCATTTTTGTGGATTTTTGATCATAGATGAATGTCTTATATTCATCCTTTTCAACTCCATTTCCATTAAGATAACCCTCAAAATTAAATATCCACCGGCATTACTTATCTCTGCAGATTCTTGAAGATCAATTATAATTTTGCTTCTATCAATGATTCATTGTGATTGTAGAATCTTGTTTTAAAATAATATTAATATATGAACTTTTAAAATAAAATAATTTAAAATATTATTAAATAATATAAGCCTATACTGTTGTTATTATAGTTTACATATTAGAAGAAACTTTTTTTTGTTGTAATGATTATTATTTTAGTATATTTGAACATGTTGCATATTCTAGTTATTACTTTGTTCTTGAAGTTGACTTAAAATTTTTATAACTTCATCTTCAGAGAAGGTATCATATTTAAGTATACCTTCAAGAAGATTTTTGTTATCATTTGTAACTCTATATTGGCATTTGGTGCCTATTTGTTCATGCAATTGATCAGTGCTTATATTGTTACCTCTAACTTCACTTTCTTGTAGGCTGTTGTTTTTTGTTTGCCCCTTTTTGTATTTTCTTTTTCTGATTTTTTGTTAGTGAATTCAGCTTGTGCACTACTATATTGCGTCTTCTGTAACCTTTAAAATTTCTTTGTTTAGTCTTGTATATGTCTTGCTATAGAATTTTCTGAAGCTAAAATATCTCAAGATTGTAATATACATATATATTAGAAAATTCTGCTGGTGTTATTTCCAGTATATACATAAAAATTTCATGTATCATTGTATTCAGAAGAGTGAGGGTAGTAATTAACTCATTTGCTAACTTCTATAGCATATCTTTTCTTGATATGGTAGCCCTTTTCTCTTTAATAGTAACCTTATCACCAATATACTCAGAAATCAATAACTCTAATCATTCTCTTACTGCTTGTGTAAAATTAATTTGAAGTTTCAATTCTTCTGCATCTACTAACTTGCCTCTGATGTTTTGTTTTACAAACAAAACTCCAAAACATTCTAAAGCTTCAACAAAACCAAAAAAGTATTCAGATTAGATTAGATTAACAGAGCAGACACATCAGAGTAATTCTTGGAAATATGAATCCTTATTAATATAAGATAAAAAATGAGTTACTGAATTAGAATAATCAATTTTACCAGTAACCAGAAAGAGGGTACAAATGCAGCAAGATTCTTTATTTGTATATCATAGTTCCTCTGACAAATACCAATTTTATACCCAATCCAATAACCAATCTAGTAAAAATAACAAGTAACAAACTTTGAGTATATCATTACTGCTACTTTCAATATCATTTATTTTTTGATTTTTGATATTTAAATACTTAAAAATTGCTATACCAACAGCAACCCAAATCAACTCCAAAACTTGACTAGTAGCCTGGTAATCTACAACACTTTCAAGTTTATCTAAAAATTAAACTCCAAGCTTTATAGCCATATTCGCAATACCGTAACCTGAAAAAATATTTATTAATACAAAATACACATAGCTTTCAAAGTATACTATTGACCCAACAAAAGCCTTACATCCTTATTTTTTTTATATGAAACTAATCTATAAAAGATTGCCTGATTACAAGCTATATCTAAACATCCAGTATTAGATATTCTTACATTGCTATAGAATAAATCACATGCATTGTAAATATTTGTATTACAATTTAGATTGTTTTCAGAACTAAGTATCATAACTTTAGGGAGTAGCACTTAGCATCCAATTGGAAAGTTTTTAGAAATTTCATGTAGAATACTATTTATATCCCAATTCTTAATGCATGAAGACAAAAGCTTCTAAAATGCTATCTCATAAACCTCAAAAAGGTTATTAGTGAAAGTTAATGATCCAAAAAGAAACTAGTTGATTTCATGAGGACTACTAGCATTTATATGATTATGATTACGTATTTGTATGGGCATTATAAACTAGAATACCATCTATAATATAGTATATACAGTTCTTCATACTTCATCATAAATATTTCTATATGCAAAAGTCTTTTCATAAAATTAATATTATCGATTACTAAAATATTCTATATGTATATACTATCTAACAGTCTTGTTTCAGATTTTGCTTCATACTATCAGATCTTTTTGAGGACTCTTTCATATTGTTGTGTATGTGATACTACATTGACAATGCAAAGTATATTGTATAGAGAATAGTATAATCTCGGTTTTCTATATATAGAACTCATTATATAAGTTAGCTATATAGGGCCATTGTAGTAGAAAGGGCCGAAACTCAGAAATATATAATTTTAAGAAAATCGTATTTGTTTTGTTTAGCCTGATCTGGATCAATCAAAAATTTAGAGATTTGATTGGTTAGCTATATCAGATAATCTCATAATATATGAATCTTCTAAATATTTTTTATATATATTTCAATTGTTTATTAAGAAAATCAGTTTCTCTTCATAATCAAAAAATGTAACCTGTCTCGAAATTTATTCAAATCTTACAAAAACTCAATTTTGATTTCTGGGAGAGTTTGGGTCCTTTCTATTGCAATGGCCCCATATGTTTATACCTAAAAATATATCATTAAAATAAGAAATACTAAAATTTTTGTTATATAATCTATATCAAAGGCTTTCAATAATAAGATTCTTTGTTTTCTTTTTTTTATAAATATATCATATTTCTTTCATTATAAAGTTTCAATAAATTTATTAAAAAAATTGGCAATACATTATGAAAATTTATCTTGATATTTTACTAATGAACTTGGATTCTCAAAATTTGTTTTTTTATTTTGTACTTTGTGTCATGCATTCCATGTTGTGATTTCTAATGCTTTTCCTAAGTTTAAAGCAGTTTTAGATATAATATCATACTTTTAATCTATAATATTTATCATATTAATATGATCTAGCCTTAGAACCATTTTAACAAACACAAGGCTAGGTGAATTTTCAGGTACTAAAATGATCTGATGGCAAAAAATATTGGAAAATAGAAACCAAATATATTAAAAGAGCTTTTTTGTTACTCTTATTAGCAGTTTCAACCATGTGCAAGATCCAATAACCTAAAATTTAAAGTCCATTATTTGTGTAAATATTTATACACAAATTTTGGACATTTACACTATATCGTTTATAAAAGTGACCTCATGTCTAATAAAACATTCTGAACATATATATCTTGGTCGATATTTGGCTCCTCTATTATTTGTAATATCATCTGATTCTATATTAAATATGAGACAAACTAAAAGATCTACACAGGGTATTTGTACATTTTTTCTAAAGATATATCATGAAGCTATATACAAGTTCTACGCCTACTAAAAAAATATTTATATTTGCTGCAAAATAAGTATTGTTAGCAACATATCCAACTTTTTTAATTAATCATTTCTGTTTAATATATGGCTCGTAAAGCTAGTTTTGGTCAAAAAGAAAATGTGATTGACAAACCTCTATTATCGATAATATATTTATTGCCTTGGTCTGTTAAAAAATCTTAGAATCTATTTCTCATGCTTCAATGAGTTAAGCAAGTGGTCTTTATAATTCCAACTTTACAGAAACCTATTAATTTTTTTCAAGGGATTTACGATGCATTAAAGTTATAAATCTGATAATTTTATATTAT